TATTTTAAGCCATGAAAGCATATAGGTGTGCACACACGAGAAATAAAAATCCCCTGGAATTTTAAAAAACGCGGCAAACATCTGATTTTGTTGGATAACATTTCCAAGTCAGGCCTTACTATTCTAAGTCAAAATATTTGAGTACTAGGCCTAGTCAAATAGGTTTTTCTGCTTCTTGAAGGTAAGAATGATAGTGAGAAGAGCAAAGAGAAATTACAATAGACAACATTTATTAGATACCAATCCTAAATAAAAAACAAAACACCTACTGGCCACAAAGGGAGGAGGCTAACAAAATTAAAGAGGATGTCAAAAATAAAAAGGATACACACTAAGATAAACTTTTGAAGTGGTCAATCTGTGATCCTTTTCAATATAAGAAAATACAAATACCAATAAATAACAGACAAGGAAAACTACCAATTTGCTTGCAAAAGCCAGTTTAATTTTAATGGGAGCATCTGCTTGCCTTCTGTATCTATATTCATCCTCAAAGCCTCATGGACAGCTAATTCCTTTCCCATCTAACACTCGGAGGAGGATACAGGTAACCGTAAAGTCAATTATCTACATACTGGTTTAATGATTATGGAATCTGAAGGTCAGCTCAATCCTGAGGAGACTGGAAGACACTTTGTGCTTTTCCCATTGATGGCTTTGACCTATACATAGAGTGTATGGGAATCATCTGTACCACAGACTCACCAGACAGGCTTTACATTTCATATCACAATCATTTTGCAAGGCACTTGACTTAATGTAAATCTAATGATGGCTCAAATTAAAAATCACCAACTTGCCCTTTTTCAGTGTGAAACCCAAAGGGAGAATATACAGACCAAAACCAAATACTCTGCTTTACTTAGATGTTAACACTCACCTTTATGTACTTAAGATTAACACAACGTGTTAGAATTAAATACTGTGGGAACCGTAACTGTGAATTCTGTATTTTTACATAAATATTCTATTGTTCTTTAAGCTTATAACTTGACATGGCTGCATATACATGTCTTTACACATTTGTATAACTTGTTAGGAAGCCTAAGAATGCTAACTTTGGGTTTAATAAAGAAACCACTGGAGAGAAAAAAATTAGTCACTCAAAAGATGCAGAAAAATCTAGCCTTCTCTCCTTCCTGATCATATTTGTGATTTTGTTCACCTAGTGGTTAAAAAACAAAAGACTGATGTTTTAAATTTAAGATTCTTCTGTATTTTGAGTAAGCAAGTTTAAAGTAGGACAAAGTGACCAAAGTAATTTGAAAGATTCAATAACTTTTGCTCGACTCTAGTGTGTCCAAGGTACCTGTTCTCTAAACTGGGCATTAACAAAAATATTTGACTTCACTAGAACTCAGTAGATTCAAGGAATATTATGCCAACCAACAAGGACCTTACAACTTTGTTTACGTAACATTCTTTTCCTGTTACGTAAATTTGTGCATTTTTATTCGAAGATAAAAATAAAATACTCAGCAAAATCCAGACTGCGTTGTCCTAAGATTAGGTTTAAGACACTGTTAAGCCAAGTCAGTATTTCAATGTAATGTTTTCATTGTTGTCCTAAATTTTCCCCCCATATAATACTGGGACAGCTAAAAAAACGTACAGATGTAAATTTCTCAACCACAGAGATGCAAAGTTATAATTTTGGGGGGAAAAAACTTGAGTGAAATCCTTATATATTTTAGGTTTTCATTAACTTACCAATGTAGTTTTATTGGAGGCCATTTTTTATTGCAGACTTGAAGAGCTATTACTAGAAAAATGCATGACAGTTAAAAAGAAGTTTGCATGACACAAAAAAGGTAGCTAAATACAAGTTTTGTTTGTATTCCAACCCCCAGGTAGATAGTGCACTTTTCAAACGTCTATAATAATCTGGAAAAGCAGATGTGAGCTCCTGCCTAAACTATTAGTGACAGGCCATGCCTAAGTGCATACACCGGTGTTTTTAACCAAGTGAGTCTAGAAAGATCTTACTGGGGACCCTGGTACCTGAGACAGCTTCACATGGCGAAAAATAGTGGACAAATATTTTTTCCTATCTAAATCTCATTTATAATAAATTCAATATTCAATATCTTTAAAGAGGACAAACTTTTTGATTCCTAATCATGCACAATTACCCAAACTCTCACAACGGTAAACATGAATTTTTTCTCTATACTCTGAACGTTCAAAGAGGCTCCTAACATAATCGTAACTTGATCTCTTTTCAGAAACCTTCTCCCTTTCCAATCACTAACTAAAGGAAAAACACACCGAGATGCTCCAGCCCCATTTCGTGACACTTAAAAGAAACCATCTCATATATATCCGCTCTTCCTAAGCCCCAGGCCTGTCTTGCCTTAATCCTGAGGCCTAAGCGCCCGCCCCCCACCCGGGAGCGCGGGCCTCGTGGTCAGCGCATCCGCTGGGAGAAACAAAGGCCGCGGCGAGGGGGCTCAAGGGCACTGCGCCACACGGCCCGAGCCAAACCCCGGCGGCGGCCACGTAACGGAGCGCAAGCCGCAGCCCGGGGACAGCGGGCCGCGCGCACCACCAGGCCTCGCGAATGCGGGAAAATGCAGCGCCCTTCCTGGAGGCCCAACTCTCCGACCCACCCCGCGTGGAGAACGGCCCCTCATCTTGAACGGGGATGGGGGAGGGGGGAAGGAAATGCGCTTTGTCTAGAAATAAAGCGACTGTAGCCACAGCTCTCCACCCTCTCGAAGACAGAGCCGTCCGCCCAACTAACTAAAAGCGCCAGCCCAGCGCCACGCCAGCCGCGGTGCCTCCACTCGACCCTCCGCTCCTGCCTGCAGCTCCCGACGCGGGGTCCGGCGGAGAGGGGCGGGAAGTGGGGAAAGGGGGGGCCTGGGGTGCATGTGGTATCTCAAGCACCACCACCGAATAAGAGCGAGAGATTAAAAAAGCCACCGACTTCACCGCCTCTGAGGTGCTCCGAGTCGCGGGTCTACGGCGTCTCCGGCCCTGCGCGCTTCAAGCCCGAGCCACATCGGAGGGGGAGGGGGAGGCGGCGGGGGAGCTGCG